TCTGAATAAATTTATCATTTGCACAAATGTATTTTTCGAAACTTCGAAGCTTCGAAGCTTCGAAAGAATTCGAAGATTTTAATGTCGAAGTCTTCGAAACAAATCACCAGCCCTAATTAGAACCTTCATATTTTACATATAACTGAACATATACCTTATTTCCGCACTTTTCTGATTATTGCCAATAAGATAGTCTGATATATTCGAACGTTTAACTTTTCTTGCTTCTTCATTGATTATAGGATTGCTCAAAAAATTGTTCAGTGCTCCGTTGATGTACGGTAACGACTAGTAAATGACACGAAACTTTTATTAAGATGTCTCTTGTATTAAATTTTTTAGATAACATTTTTCTTTTTTCGCAAATATTTTTATTAAACACGTGCGTAACTTTACTCACAGATGTATGATCTATCGAGAGAAGGACGAGCAAGGTAGACATGAGCAATGAAGATATTTTGGACGCTCTGGCTTGTGCTAGTCGATGTAACGACAAGTTCATTAAAAGTGCGGTAGCGTATTCGAGCCTGTATAAACTTATGACGCGACATTGATCGTGTAGGTGATTGATCAACCATTCCAGTAGACCGCTCTCTATCATATATATCCGTTGCTGCCTACGTAAAGATAGTTTTTGTAACATCGCCATCATCATGTCACAAGCGAAAGGATCCACTCCGTCAGCGTAATTATTGTCGAGACAAGCAAAGGCCTGAAATACCGAGAATCGTAATTTCAATTAACGTCATTCAATCTCACAATCATTATTCAATTTTATGTATACGTAGTAATTTATGATATAATATTTGTGTCTTGACTAATTTTTTGCCTGATTTTGATATTCTAAGTAATTGCAAGAACAGCATGATTACACTGTTAATTTACGTAAAAAAACCGTACCACATTTATGACAATGGAGCCGACCGATAAGTAGTCTCTTCCGCATCTGAAGGATGCCAAGGTGTTTAGCAATCGTGCAGTGAATTGTTGCAAAAGATGCCTGGCGTAAGCTTCTCCCGCTGTCAGCAGACACGGTAGAATCGACTTGCCGTTGTCGTTAGCAATTTGTCCGTGAAGCCCCAACAAATCGCGACTTATATATTCGTGCAGGACCTCGTCCTGTTCTGTCGATTGCACGAGCGTTATTTTCTAAAAATACGAATGAAGTTTTTTCAAAGGTGTCCGATATCATCGCTCTTGTAAAACTATTGATCTTCGTACCCAACGCAATGCTTGTAGCAGCAACAACTTTGTCTTAACGTCCCCATTAATTAGATGTAACTTGATCTTTTTGTAATCCAATAATTTCGGAGGTACCGGTACTGTTGCGACATCAAGTTTAGGCAGTGAAATTGCTTTCACGTCAATACGATCGAGTTGCAACAAGGACGGCTATTGGAAAAACGGCCATACATTAAAAATGAAAAGTTTATAGAAGAATACGTCATGAACGCTTTCTTTCGCTTTCTTTCACTTACATACGAAGTCTCTCTTATATTTTGGTTAAACAAATCTGGAAATATCTTCATGCAAATCTCGAGTGTCCGTTGCACGTCAACGTCTCGCCCTTTCACCGAATTCTCCAATGCCACCGTTAATTCCCCGGCAACGTCTATCAGTTTATGATAATCCGCGTGCAACTTGTGAAATCTCACTTTTAGCTTCTCATAATTTGTATGCATACTGCATAAATGAGACTTGGTTAATGCTAATTCACGATTATATTGAATTAATCTCTTATCTGACTTGTGCATCTTCAACAAACTGTTAACGCTCTCCCCGGGATTCATTATATCTTCTCGCAAATTATTGACTGAATTATTGATAGTAATTTGATTTCCAGTAATGTGCGTTTGTGTGCTTCTGTAAATGATAATATATGAAAACAAAAATAGATTTGCTAATCTTTTTACTAAAATATCGGAGAAAAGAAATTTTACTTCGATTTCAGACATGTTTGATTAGAAAAACTATATTGGTCCTCATCGATGTGATCTAGAAATATGGGTATATCTCTATCGTTCGGCACAATCGGCATGTTATGCTTTGTAGTTTTGTTATTTTGTGTATCCGATTCCGCAGTTCTTGTTCTTGTTGCTGACATGGTAATTGTATGAACTTGTTCTAAAGTCTGCGCTTTATTGGCATTTACATTGTCTAAATTGATCAAATCCTACAAATTTCGTGTTATTTATAATTTTTATGCAATCTGTTTTTGTATTATCGCATGTAAATGCAGAATTCAAGTTTGCTTACTTGTTTGTGACGTGTTATAAACGAATCTAAATTTTTGGATAGCTCATCCAACCAATGCTGGTCTAACATTTCGGAGAAAAGAGTATTTGCATAAATATCTTCAATAAACGGTAACGCATAAAACGGTTGTAATTCTGAATCATGTTCTAACTCCTTGCCATCCCCACTCAAATAATCTTGTAATTGTTTCATGCTGTCATTTATATATTTTTCGATTTCAGTGGCATTGCTCTGTTTGTTATTAATAATATTCTTAGACTAATTATTTTTGAAGTATTTATATAATACAGTATTCAATATAATTAAGTATTTATTCTTTTGATTTATCAAATTTAAATATTTGATATTAAATATAAATAATATTAATAAGAGTATATTTAAGAAAGCCAAAAACACAGAAGATAATTTTTGTTACATTAATCCTTTAAAAAAAATTCGAATTACCTCCTTGTTTTTTTCCAAAAGAAGATTGTTTTCTATTGAAGGCAATCTCAGTGTACTTGTTTCTGATGTTAGATCTAATCCACAATAAGAATTAAAATTGTTATGTAAAACGCATAAAATTACGTATGTATAATAATATATTATCTTTTTTACCATGTTCTTTATATCGATCGGCATGTAATTTACGTTTAGGTAATACAGCAAAGTGTACGTGTAAATAAAACGTTAACTTTTTGTATTCTTCACATTGTTTAATACTATCAGAGAATGAATCATTCCACAACTAAAAAAAAAAAAGAAATATAGCCCAATGTAATCATTATAGGTATTCAATGCTGATACAAGTCTAACTCTTTACTTGGAAAAACGTTGAATAATCTCCGGTATTGTAGCATAGCATTAGTTGAACATAAGGATCTGTAACTTCTTCTAATTTACATTCCAAATTTTGTAAGCCCATTTTTGAAGCTTCTTGCATCAAAGCTTCAGCAGTACTTTCAAAATTATGATCCAAAAGAAACTGCGAACCATTTTTTTTAGTATAAATTAAAAAAAATATATACAGATCAGTTTAAATATAATATTAAAGCTGTTGGATTAAATGTTAAATATCATTAATTATACCTGATGGATTACTTTGATGTTCTTATCAGCCATTTGATTCTTCATGAACACAACTCAGTACGTACCTTGTTCTGCCTAGAAGTATCGTCATTATATAAAGAATTAAATCATTGTGGAACTGAAATTTACAATTAAATTAAATTGTAAATAGCTTTAATGTGTGTATTTTACGTAAAGCAACTTAAAACAATCCATTTAATTAATACAAAAAAAATGATGATACTTAAATCGTCATTTAATTGATAGTTTAGTTTGCTTACTCCACTGATATTCGGTTACCGCAGTTCAATGTATTCCGGCGCACGTAACTCGGCAGGTATTCTTCTGACAAACTCATGCCGCGACGAGTGTGTCAGTTTTTAGGTTCACATTAATCGATTTTATGCAAATACGCTATTGATCAGCATACAGCATTTGGAGAAACCAGCAGCAACGTGTACTCCGCGATTGCCGCAGCGGAGCTCCAATTTTCACGATTAAAATTCGCGCTTGTTAAAAGACGTAGATCGGAGCCCATTGGGGTCACGAGCGATTTTCGCATCGCGTATCACGTTCCGACATCCGCGTAACGGAGTTAGTAATTTGTTGCCATCGCCATGTGATCCGCGGAAGAAAACAAACGTTTGACGTTTTACGGCTGCGTACACGACCGAGAAGGAGGTTTCTGCTGAGCTAAACTGTGTCTCGTCAATCCCCTCGCACGCACGCGCACGTGTGCACGCGGTCCTCGAGTCTCGACTGTCACAGCTGTTTACATTATCGTTCATCGACATTTATCGATCCGCGATATTTTGCATTCCAGGGAAATACGGCATGAAATGCGGCTTGTGCATCATTGCAATTTAAGAGAATTATAAAAATGACCGAGGAACAGGATTCCCTGCTGCACAACGCTATCGTTTCAGAGGTTTTCTGTCATTAATTATCTCGGTACATTTAACTCGGAGGTTATATTTTATTAAGAATCCGCTTTTGCAAATCGCAGATACCCGGCACTGCGTGTTACATACCGAATTTTATTACCGAGGAGGAAGAGAGGCAGATTATAAAGCGCGTAAATAGCGTACCGCAACCAAAATGGACGCAATTGAGCCACCGTAGATTGCAGAATTGGGGCGGTATACCGCATCCCAAGGGGATGATAGCGGAAGAGATTCCTGATGTAGGTAGCCAGAATGTGAAACGTCTTATTTTTAGAATTGATTTAAAACTGGAGCTCCTCCAGTGTTACAAGTACTTTATATTATTTACAACAGTTATTTGTAAATGAGAGCATTAAACATTGACTCCAATATTTTAGTGGCTTCAGAGATATATTGATAAAGTGACAGCTTTGAATGCCTTTGAAAAAGGAGTGTTGCCTAATCACGTTTTGATTAACGAATATTTATCTGGACAAGGAATAATGGTACGTCAGAGATGAAAGACGGTGATATGTTTTACTGGTTTTTTTTTCTCCATTGTAAAGTATAAATTACATCTATCTACGTAAGAATAGAAAAAAATGCGAAAGTATATACACGTTATAGTATCGCACATACTGAATAGTAACGCAGTGTCTTCACCAGGCACACTCGGATGGTCCACTTTTTTATCCTGTTGTAACTACCGTCAGCTGTGGTTCTCATACACTCCTTGACTTTTACAAACGGCTGGAAACGACAGAGGTAGACACTGCAATATATAATAAAGAAGATTGCTATATAAAAACGCTACTATAATAATACTGTAACGCAACGTATATGTATTATTTCTACAGCAACAACAACCCAAGTTAGAATTCAGTTTGCTACTAGAACGCAGAAGTCTGTTGGTCCTACAGAAGGACTTGTACCACAATTACTTGCATTCCATAGCAGAAAGAGAGACAGATGGCATATCGGGATCTTCAATAAAAAATCTACATATGTGTGAAGAAAAGTTTACAGAGGGGGAAGTAATAAAGCGTGACACTAGACTGTCCTTAACTATTAGACACGTGCCGAAAACTAGCAAATTGAAATTGAAAATTTTTTGATACGTATTATTGAAATTTGGAAGACATACTACAATAAATAGTGAAACACAGAATGTTGCCGTGCCTCACCTTTTACGATCGTTGTCCGTTCTAATCCATGAAGTACTTGACATTCGCTTTACGATGAATTGTCACACGCTATTTGCACATCACTGCTGTTCCCTGTGACATTCTCAAGGCTCACGTCCATCGCTTCCTCATCACCCTCGTCCAACATACCTTGCAGAGAGTGTATGGAGGATATTAGAACGTGGAATTGCTTGCGACGCATTTCTAACTTGTGCTCCAGCTGTTCCGATTTCTCCTGAAATATCATGATTTTCAGACAAAACCAATTTTTTTTTATAACTATTCCAAACAGGAAAGGTTACATTGCGTGTCAACGTACCTTTAAAGCGCCCAATTCTTGTTGCAGCGTATCGAGCTTGATGTGTGTGTCCAATCGGTCCGGCTGTTCATTAATGACTTTGGCCAGTACATCGTACTCTATTCTATTTTTCCTCACACGTTTGGCATCCTGCAGCTCCGCCTTAGTTTTCTCTATGTCCTCCTTGGCCTTCTCTATTTGCACCTCGATCTCCTTCGACAGCTGCTCATAGCTCTTCAACTCTTCTCGACTCATGTTCGAGACCAGTCGGGATTTCTTCTGTGCAAACTCGCATTGCGCCAATTGCGACAGCATCCTTTCGTGCAGGGTGTTGTCCACGTCGGAACTGTTGATCCATTTTATGAACGATTTCAATAGCATATTGATCCTACGATCGTCTCCTGTCCCATCACCGTCTATGAGCAGACGCCGGCGTATTACTTCTTCTGCAAATGAAAAATTTATACGTATCATTATGTATCACGCCGGCATAATATACATTTTATGGGAGAAATGCATAAAACCTTTTATTGCTCGAGTTGCTTATAATTATTCTGATAAAAAAATGCTACTTACCGTCAGACATTGTTAGATGTGTATTGTGTTATGTGTATTGATGTACTTGTAACCAAGAAAGTAAATTTTGATATGTTTAAAAGATTACACAAAGAGAAGACACAGGCGACACAGCTGCCGAACGTGGTTATGTTTTAAATGGAGCTCGTTTACTGGCGCCTCTATGTGTACATACAGTCAACAGCAATGAATCGCTGGGTCACATAGCTGGTGAACTTACCGACGTGTCTGACTTGTTAGGCACGCGTATCTGACTAGTCAGTAAGTCGGTAAGTTCATACACTCGCTCACTAAAAGGTTGCGACACTTTCTTTTTTATAGGTTTCAAAACGCATTAATATTTTGCAAATGCGGACCACGATTGGTGTTATACTGTTTTTAAACTAAAGATAGTACATCGTGGTTTGCATTTGCAAAATATTAATTATCTATAAAATATATATTACGTATATTAAATATAAATTAGAA